TTTTAAAATAAAATTTTAAATGTTTTATTATTTTATGTTCCCGGGACATTTTTAAATGTCCCGGGAACATAAAATAAACCTTTTTATTTTTTTTTTAATACTCACCTGATCTGATCTACCGACAAGCGCAGCGTCCCGGCTCTCACGCTGTCATTATATGCATACAGAGCGTGCGGGTTACTATATAAACCGGTGCGCTGTGTGCAGCTTCTGAGAAGATACGCTATTAGCGTAGCGGGAGCGATGCAAAATGCGCAGCAGGCTTCCCTGCTACGCCAATAGCGTATCTTCTCAGAAGCTCCACACAGAGTGCCGGTTTAAATAGTAACCGGCACGATCTGTATACATATAATGACAGCGTGAGAGTCGGGACGCTGCGCTTGTCGGTCGTTCCAGGGATCAGGTGAGTATTTGAAGGATTATTAAACCCTTTGGCTTTTTTGCATATATTTATGAGGGTAGCAAGCAGTAGATATGTGCAAAAAGTTGAGAAAAAAAATCCCGCTTTAACACGGTTTAAACTTACCCCGTCTTTGCCGCGCGCTCCCGTTCGAAAATCCGAAACTGCTCAGGCGGCCGCAAAGCATCTTGGGGCGGGCGCATGCACAGTTCGGATTTTCGGCCGGGAGACGAGGAGAGACACAAGGTAAGTCTATGGACGCGTGCACCCGCATGCAGACAGCGTGGGACAGGAAGTGCTAGCAAGGACAGAGGAGTAAGCGCTGGATCGGAGACCCGCCGCACCGCTGGAGGGACAGATGAAAACATCAGGAAAGAAGAAGATCGGATTAGGAGACATCAGTTAAGGTAAGTGCTGGCATTTACATCGGGGGGAGGGGAAACATTTACTTTAATGTCACTTTAACCACTTCCGGGCCGCAGTATGTCTAGACGGCGGCCTGCAGAAGTGGGTAAAACAAGAACACGGCTGCTCCGGCAGCTCTTGGTACTGATTTTAACAGCAGGCGATTGCTGTGTAACTTACAATCGATCTGGTGTCTGAACAGCGGCCGGATCGTTTGTACCGTGTGGTACCCCCGCAGCGGCCACTGGGTCGGTGGGTCTCCCGCAATGATCAGAGAGAGGTTCAGCCACTTCCAGCCGCTGATCTCTCCTCTGATCACTGGACGCGGAAGTGCTGTGTATTACATCACTTCCGGTGTCACTGTACACAGTCTCCGGCTCTCAGAGCCAGGACAAGAAGCTGGGAAAGCAGATCTCAGCTTGTTTGGGGTCTCTAGGTGACATTAGGGGTCTAAAAGACCCCTGATGCCTCCATAAAGAGGACCTGTCACACCCTATCTGCTATTACACAGGGTGCTTGTTAGTGCCCTATGCAATACCAATAGGGTTAGTGTACAAAAAAAAAGTGTTTAAAAATTAAAGTAACATTAAAAAAAAAAAAAAAATTGGAAAAAAAATGTTTAAGTCCCCCGCCCCTCAGATACACACGTGTCAGAGCGCTACGTGCGAAAAACGACAATTGTGCTGCACATTTTACATATCGCCTCGAACGTCGCAGTGAGAGCAATAATGCCATTTTTCTGCCGATACAGCAACGCATCCCTGCTTTCTTTCCTCCCCGCTGGGCGCTGCTCTGTGTCCCAGCGGGGAGGATAGAAAGTGAGAACCGGCCGAGCGCTGCGGGAGGAGAGCGCTGTGTTTTTTTTTGGGGGGGGGAGGCCAAAAAAAAAAATGCACCAGGGCCCTTTGTTCCTTAGGTTTGCCACTGTATAGACATGCAAGTCTTTTATTTATTTATGCTGAAATATTTTAAGGATCGATTATGCTTTTAGAACTTAGAGTATGATAGCTCAAATATATAGTGAGCACTGTTAATACCTTGAGTGTGATTTAAATGTCGGAGGATAACATGGGAACTTCTTATATCAACTAGCAGTAACAGAATTAGGGTTGTACCACACTCCTTTAATGCACTGAAGAATAATCTTTCACCCTAATCCATTTCCTTTTTGCTAAAGTATCCTATGTTTTCTTAATACCTCTTTTAATCCCTTTCCTCTTATACCTTGTCTCTGAACATGAGAGTTCCTAACGGATAACACTATCACTGACAATAATTGAATTTGAATGTTATCGTATATATCAGACTTGGGAAGTAACTATCACCTACTGTTGTAAACAAATGTTAAGAATTATGCATCTTCAAGTTTATAAAAAAAAATTTACCAAAACAAAATACAAATATTATAACTGAAAGTCGACTTTGTAAGTATTTCCCTAGTTTACATGAATGTAATATTTGTTTAACTGCTAGCTGAGTCAAAAATCCAATTTTTTTTTTTTAATGATTAAATAATGTCTATTATTGATGTTTACCACTGATCTTACAATAGCCTGTTTAATATGACTTATTACTAGAGACATGCACAGTATTTATTTTGGAATAACGCACCATTTTCCATATATTCTGTCACAATATAAATAGGTTCCTGGGTCACCACAGCATGTAATCGGACCAGTCGGGGATGCTGTAGTTGTTTCATAAGATTGGCCTCAGCCAGGAATGCTTCTGGTGACATGGTGCCCTGTTTAAGGTTCTTTATGGCAACTTTCGTATGTCCGTTATAATACCCTGTACAAAAAGACACAACAGAATATAATGCGGTAAGATAAGGAAGATTATAACTTTTTGCATATTCCATATATTTAAATAACCAATGGCTTAAAAAAAAAAAGTCTTCAAACCAACACGTCCATCTATCTATTGGAATATGTCAACTGCAACTCAACTCACTGTTGGTGCTGTGAATACAAAAACTCTCACCGCTCCAATTCTGCGGTTGGATTCCTGTGGGGGAGATACCTGGTGGCTGCTGAAAGGTGTGTCTTCACTTGCAATCACTCCAATTCAAAAATAGCCGCACTTAATGGTATTCAATAACATATCCAAGCTTTACAATAATCCACAAACCGGCATACACCATATTGTGCTCCTGTCAGGGATACCGGCACAGGTGACCCCACACCTGCGCGGGTACCCACACAGGCAGACCAATCACCTATGACCACACCGGACAGGGCAGAATGTATTATATACCAACCAGACTACAAGCAGGTAATGGCAACAGGAGGACAAGCAGGTAATGGCAACAGGAGGAAAGGCAGGTAATGGCAACAAGAGGACAAGCAGGTAATGGCAACAGGAGGAAAGGCAGGTAATGGCAACAAGAGGTATCTAGGACTGCAAATGGGTAACCGGGCTCGGGACACAAACAGGGTACAGGACTGGTAACAGGACTCTGGACGGAAAGCAGGGTTCACCGGAACTGGGGACTCAGGGTTCAAGTTTCAGGAAACGATACTGAGCCATCATCCTGACTGCAGGGAGGGGTTAAATATCCTCCCAGGAAGCACCAGGTGATGGCTAAGTACTGGCAGCTGGGAAACACCCGCAGGTGAGCACTGGAGCTGCAGGTCTCAGCTCCTGCGCCACCTAGAGGCGCTCTGGATCCTAACAGCTCCCCATTGTAAGAGAAACCCTCTCACATGTTTCACCAACAAGGCTTTATCATAGAGCCTCATTGGTGAAATGCGTGAGGGGGTTTCTCTTACAATAGGGAGCAGGATGTAGCATATACTAGTTTGTGGATTATAATAAAGCTTGAATATGGTATGGAAGACCCATGGAGTGCGGCTGTTTTTGAATTGGAGTCACTGTTGGTGCTGTCACTTTTTCTATACTTATGTTAGTAATTTCGGACTCTGGCTGTCCCTTATCATTGGTGTGCACTGTTTCTAATTTAGATTGTTGCTTCATTACTATATAATACCTATATATATAAAAAGACAGCAAATAATATATATAGTTAGTTCATAACATCCAGAGTTCTCTGCTTTTGCAGACTGTTATCAGTTAGCATTTATTTTTTAGGGTGTCACTGGAGAATGAAGTCCACCTTACCCCTATGTGTAAATGTTTTGCAGTCTTACACACTTCCTGCTGTAGGGTGACAAAGCTGCTCCTCCCTAAATGCAGAACAATTTAGCAGTGAGCATTAACACCCTGTTAGCAAGTGTGTTACTAGCGGGAATAGCAGGTGGAAATAAAGGACAAATGTCTGAAAATGGAAACCTATTGCAACCGCCACATCTAAGGACAGGTAAGCTGCAATATTTCAAATGTTTGTTTTAGCGTTTAGATACACTTTCACAGGACTGTTCCCTCCTCTAGTAGTCAAGGAGATGGAAAAAGCAGAAACCTGTCCTGAATTGTAAGATAATTACTGCAAACTTTTTTTGGTTGCCAGTTATGTAATATATTTTTTTCTTAACTATAAGAAAATTGTAGGTCTAATGCCTGCTTACTTATATGCAGATATGTTTTCTTACACACTTCACATAGGTCTCACACATACTACACTTGTGTCTTACATATTTCACTGGAAGTCCTGTGTTGCAAATGCAACATTAATCTGAACGAATAAAATACATATACTTCAGATTAATATAATCTAGCTACATTTGAAACAAATCTACTTACCCATCCACACTTCTCCAAACTGGCCCGCACCTAGTTTTTTTACAAGTTGCAGTTTGTTGCGAGGGATTTCCCATTCATCAGCCCACCAGGGTTTTTGTGGACGGTGAGTTTGACACGACTCTTTTAGCAATGTACACAGGCCATCCAAGGAACCTAGACAAAATAGAAAGACTTCCAAATCAAAACATGTAAATGCTTGCAGCACAATCTTATAAATGGCCTGTGCCTAGTTCTCAGTGTTTCTCCCTTTAAAGGAAAACCATTAGATGTACATCTTTTGTCTGTAGGGGAAGCAGAGAATTGGCACAATCCGTACACCCCCCAACACAGCAAACAGTCCCAGCCTACAGACATCTCAAAGCAAAAAAACATTTAATTTGCATAAACATTTCTTAAAGAATCTTGAAACTTCAAAAGAACTTTAAACCTCTTATTGGCCATTATAATATCATTTAGTGGTGTCTGGCAGGCTAGAACATAAATAGTTCATCATTGGCAAGGCATCACCCACTAGCACAGATCATAACTGAGGTCGTAATTGAGGTTGTAAAGCTATATAGGGACAATATACATTGATTGTCTGAATCAGATGACCTGTAAATGCCCTGTTGGCATATCCAGTTTCCAAAATGCACACGTAATTCATAACTCTTGGCCTGGGGGAGGGGGGTCTACATGGATAGACAGGAATATATTACAATGTATACATACTGGTCACATACATATCATGCACCGCTGTCTTGTGGAGTACAAAGGGCTAATGACACACATTATGCCTTTTGAGGAAGCCATATATCAGATGTCTATCAAGTGTGGTTTCTATCAAATTACAATTTTGTTCTGCACAATAATCTATGGGTTATCAAACTGTAGCATTTGGTAAAATAAAAATATGACTGTATTTAGGAAACTGACATTATGGGAGGGCCAGGTGAAATATCATAAAGCTCTTCAACCCTACTGTCTCACATCCCTGGGCCTTTCTGATTGAGTGGGGACTGGATTAGTGAAGCCCTCTAGAAGGCCCACAAAAAGCTGCTGCAGGAGGCAGCTGGAGCTCTCCTTTACCATCAAAAGAACATCTGCCAAGAGACTTGTTTCTAGAGAGCCAATCTTGGATCTATTTTATGTTTCATTGACTAAGCTCTGCTGGAACCCAAAGAACCCTGGACTTTAGGTAGGTTACTTTGTAATCCCTTTTTTGTTTTGCTGTTGTATTATTTGTTTCTGTTGGGTTGTAAAATCTTTTTTATGAAAAATTTTCTACACCATTTTTCTTTTCATTCATTAAACAATATTTTAAAACCCTTAAGCTTTATCTCTATGCACTAAATACGAATTTAAAGAATCCTTGTCTCCATTAAGAGCACTACCATATTGTAAAGCCTGTTATATTCCAATCTGGGGGTACAGTGAGCATCACAGGCATTGTTTAAAGTGTATTTCCACTTTCACAGCCATATTGGGATAACACCGGTTTTATATTTGTTACATGTTCCCATTCACATAGCATAACCTAAAAAAAAAATTAAAAAAATGTTTTATGTAGTTTAAATTGCTTTTGGGTTGGGTTTTTTACTTTGCATCTTAAGGTTTAACATTTCTACTTGCTTCTCCTTCTTTGTAATGTTAAGGAGGGGTTGTAAGGGGTGAGGGATTACAGGATTATAACCCTGGCTTCTCCTTTGTACGTTAATAAAGTGAATCAGAGAAACACAATCCTTAAATTTCAGTCCTAAGTCTTTCTATTAGGACAGATCACTGTGAAGGTGCTCTGAAAAAACTGGATTTAGCCATGTTGCCTGCTGCAATTAAACATGTAAAAGGTAAGAAATATTTTTTTCTAAATATTTTTTTTTTGGTATGATATGTGAATGGGAACACATAAAAAACATATAGAGGGAGTTTCTCAAATTTGACTGCAAAAGTGGAAATACACTTTAAGGTTGGAATGGTCACAGCATTTAATGGGAATAGTGCATGTTTATGTTAAAACGCGTGGTGGCAGCTATTGTTTATGTGTTTGTAAAGGGTTAACTATGGAGTTAACCAACCCCAGTCATGATCACTCTTAATCTGCTGGCCTTAGCTTCTTGTCCTGTGAGCTGGAAAATCTGTGTGCAGGGTGAAGCTGAGATGGCCGTCGTCACATATTGGTAGCAGCACGGTGGGGTCTGACCTAACTTTCTTTACAGGGAGAGGCATTAGTCACTGCTCGGACCTTTAGTTATATGTCCTGCTCCATTGAGGAGCATAGGACTAAAATTAAAGACTTCCACTGTTGATGGTTCCCAGCTTTTGATTTAACCTGCAACCAGGTCAAGTTCATGTCAACAGCCTTGATATCATCATATAGGCTTCACTGCCAAGAGCCTTTGGGTCTGCCTCTCCTGTGCTGTCCTGCTGCGCGGACCTACTGGGGTTTATTTACTGAAGAAGTAGAGAATGTTCATGTAACCACTTTGATGATGCTACATTCACTGTGAGTGCCCAGTCCAATAAGGGTTTTTACTTGATGATTGGAAGGTTGACGTGCATGAAGCTTCACATTATTCTCTACTCCTTAATAAATCTTCAGCTGTGCAGGCCTATTCATGGTATATCTGTAATTCATTCCCCAAAAGCTAACTATATTGTCTATAGTTTGTCACCTGCTGCTCATGGTAAAAAAGACATTTTACGTTTTAAAACATACAAATTAACCAAATATTTACAAAACCTGTATACATTCCCCTTAAAGAAAACATGTCCAGTTCTGGATATATTTTTTACTTCCCTTTACAGGTGCAACAGAAAGACATACCTGAATAATGTTGCACAAGTTCCCGAATGGTTTTAAAAGTTATTCTCGGAGAAATGTAGAAACCGCCATCATCCATGTTCCGAATCTTGTAATGTTTTACTACTTCTCCGTGATTTTGATCAAGATCTCGCACAGATAAAGAGTAAGATCCTGAAGAGATGACAGTGATGGTGGTAAATTGAGTGGGAAGACATCACTATTATAATGTGATCTTTACTAACTTTATTAAAGTATGCAAGACTACATAGAAAATGGGGCTTTTAAGGTGCCAAATTATGAATGTGAGGAGTATAAATCAAATATTGCACAATTTATTGATAAAAACATAGAATAATGAACAACAAATCCATTACACGTAGGCAATGTGTGACAATAGAGTTCTCCCCACCCCAGGACTTTATTGGGCTATTGTGGTGTAGCAATGCCCTGAGGTCTGTGTATCTAAAACCCTGAGGCTGACTTGTAGAAAGTAAATAAGATGGCACCTAAGTATTATTACTATTCAAAGCCCTGGGGATCATAAATTCTAATCCTATAGGTTCAATTATTGCCAATTGTGGGTTTAAAATGAGGACAGTTGGTTCATCTCTAGTATTTTTATATTCATTTTTATATAGATAGAAGCAGTCACAGTAAAAAATAATATGTAATATACAGCTCTTTTTAGGTGTTTGTGGATGAGTATCTAGGTTCCTTTGCCTAGTCACCTTGGCGGGTTAACCGCTCTCCTTGTCTCTGTGGTTGTGTGTGTGATTTGTTCCCGTGGAATGTGGATTGATCCACCATCATACTTCTAAAAAATGGTATTAATGTAAAATATTATTGTCTTATGTATTTTTATTAGATAAATATTTAATGTTTAAATGGAAATATGCAATGACTAATGTACCGATTCATTATGCAAATGCTACCCACTGCACATCTATATGTGATTTAAGGATTCTTGTTATGAATATTAGAATTTATGCTCAGTCTAGTGTGATGATTAAATTGATGACGACAAAGTTGACATAGTGGTTATAGACAATGTGCATATGTGGTCTTTGAACTGGAAGACATTGTAAGGAAGTTAATGGCGATATATGTTTTAACATGTAATGGATGCTTTGTTCATTATTCTATGTTTTTCTATCAATAAATTATGTAATTTTTGATGTATGCTCCTCTCATTCATAATCTGGACCCTTAAAAGCCCCATTTTCTGTGTAGTGTTGGATGGGCTAATATAGGGGTGTGGTGCCTCACTTTCTTTGGTGGTTCATACATACAGGTGAAACTCGAATAATTAGAATATTGTGCAAAAGTAATGGCAGTAAGTGCTGCAAAAGGGGCCCAAACCAAGTACTAAGTACATATGCATGCTTGTACTTTTCAGAGGTCCGATATTGTTCTATGTAAATCCTTGTTTTATTGATTGCATGTAATAATCTACTTTTTTGAGGTTGTGGATTTGGGGTTCTTGGGGTTTTCATGAGCTGTAAGCCATGACCATCACAATTATGACAAATCACGGCTTGAATTATCTTGCTTTGCATGTAATGAATCTATCTCATATATTAGTTTCACCTTTTAAGTTGCATTAGTGAAATAAATGAACTTTGCACAATATTCTAATTATTCGAGTTTCACCTGTATGTGTATATTTTATTAAAGTATGTATCCCTTTACTAAGGGCAGTGTTTATCATGGATCACCTGTTGATGATCAACTAATTTCAAGCACGTGGATAAATATATTTTTAAATAACAAGCCTGCTTGCTAATATCCATTTGTACATGGCTTATTATTTGGTAAACTCTTAAAGACTTATGATAAACTACACATTGGAAGCAAAATTACCCCCAGAACTTGTCAGACATACACACTGAGATACTCATTCCACTAGCTGAGAACCAGTACTATGGTTCATAGGGAAAAGGATCTAATTCTCAGAGACTCCGAAAGCAAGAGTTGCCATTCATTGATCTTTGCAAGTGATGAGTCGAGTTAAAACAAGCAATGGGTGGAGTAGGTCTTCACTAAAGTTATATAACAAGAACCTTTGATTGTCAGAAGTGAATTATCTCTGCGTCAATGAGCGCCAATCTTTCCCTTTACTTGTTTGAAGACAACTAAATCTGGATTCCTTCATCAGTTTTTAGACAAAAATACCTGGGTTGGTCTCACTCTCTCTTATAAGAAATGATCCTTGCTGATTTCCTGGAGCCAAAAGCTGACGCTCTGCATCTTTCCGACCGAGGTTCTTGAAAAACCAGCTGAAAAAAGATTAACAGATTGGATCATAACTATAACTAATAAGTCACACAAACTAACTTATTAGTCTTGGTAAAATAAATTGTTGATATCAGAGGAGATGCTATGGTTTTTTATATTTATAAAGTATATAAAACGAATGTGACATTCACCATACATTGACTGCAGATGTATCTTCCTGGTGCATGTGTTTCAAATTACCGTGACTGATTCACCTGCAGTGAATTACACATTCACTGTTTTTTAACCACTTTGCGTCCACTGACGTACAACAGTATTGTTTAATATATATGCAAAGAGGTTATATTAGAGAAAATTCCGTTCATTCAATTCCAAAATCTGCTCTACTATTTGAACCGTTCAGTATCTCATAAAGCATGATTATAGATGGGTGAGTCTTTATAATGGAATTGATATACTAACATTTGTTCTAACAGTTGGATCTTTTCAGCAATTAGCAGTGATGGCCATCAGCAGTTCACTATGAGAATGAGTGAAATGGATGTGGGGTTGACAACGTTGCCAATTTTTATTAGAGGTTTTCGTGTTGTAGTGCTGTGTTCACTTATTTTCATGTAATATTTAATAAAGTAAGCCATTTGGCTAAATATTTATATAAAACTGGTTGAAGTATAACTTCATTATCCACCTTTTTTTCTTCAAAAAGTGGTATTTGTTTGATGTATCATCTTAAAGAGGACCTGTCACCACCATATTTGCACCTATCTCTAAACTGATGACCTGTAGTAGACATGTACGATTCGTTTTGGAAAGATTAATTATTCGGACGAATTTGCATTCATCATTTCTGTCATTCGGAGATTCGTATATATTCGAATCTCCGAATGACAGAAATGATGAATGCAAATGAATCCGAATTTCCAATAATAAAATTTTTGGACGAAATTCGTTAGCGGTAGTATGTACGGATTTTCGTTCCGGTCCAATGTACGTTGCAGAAAAGTGATATTAGACAAAAAGAAAAAAACAGACCCCTTGGGTCTGGTAGGAATGTTAGGAGGGTCCCCCCACGTAAAAAAAATTTAAAAAAAGTGTGTGGGGTTCCCCCAAAAGTCATACCAGGCCCTTTAGGTCTGAAGGAATTTTAAGAGGGAAACCCACCCCAAAACATGGGGAAAAAAAATGTGAGGTCCCCCCTAAAATTCCTACCAGACCCTTGATCCGAGCACAGGCCCAACTAATGAAGACAAGGGCCTCTTCCCTACAACCCTGACCCGTTGGTTGTGGGGGTGTGTGGGCAGGGGGGCTTGTTTGCATAGGGGTACCCCTTCAATTAAGGGCGCACCCAGATGCCGCCCCCCCCCCCTTGTGAATGAGGTACCCTACTCTTTCACAAAGGGTTACATTAAAATGTAAATAAACATACAACATACGACTTGCCAAAATAAAAAAAAGTCACGCAGCACGACGACCCATCCAAACCTGACGAAGACTCGCCGCAAAATTACATCTCTGCCCAGAATGTAAACAGATGGCCGGAGTGAGCCGTGACGTCACGGGGCTCGTTACGCCCATTTGACATTCTCCGCTGTCATAATACAATAGCATTCGTGAGTTCCCGAATGCTGTTCGTGAGCTCCTGAATGCCACTCGGGTCTGTGAGCCGAGGTTTCATATGAATAGTATTATGAGACCTCAAAGCTACACTTTTAGTGCTGCCAGCAGATAAAGAAAAGTAAAAACAAAAAGCCATATTTATTACCATACATGCCCATGATTTTGTTCTTTAAACAAGTGCTTCAAAATCTTTCAAGCAAATACAGTATACAAATTTTTTATTTCATGTTTTCAAAATCTTATTTAAAAACATACAAAATTACAACAAAACAAATGTCACAGTATAAATAAGATGGGCCAATTATCTTGTATTTAAAACTATTTAAATGTCATGATGAAATAAAGGTAGACTGAAAGGAATAATTTAGATGCAGACATGAATTTGAACATGTAATATGCACAAAGTAGTCAAAGGATCTGATTTACTAAAGTTAGATTTTCCCTTGATGTGCTGTCAATCCCCTGGGGTTGATGCATATGTGCCCTTAACCATAAACTGTTGGTGAAATGAGCATCTGTGCACGTGGTATGCACACATATATTCCAATGGTCCGCCACCAATTGGTAATATGCTACATTGCCAGTTCCAAATCTGAAAACCCTCACCACCTAAGCGTAGCTGGCCCTACATTCTGTAATGGTTTGTCATGCAAACAACTATATAAAAGTACATTTTATGTACATAAAAAAAGGTTACCTTTAGGGGTGCACCGAAATTTCAGCCACCGAAACATATCGGTCAAAAATTGCACTTTTAACAAAATGCTGAAAGTACCATCTTTTGGCCAAAATTGCTGTGCATTCCTAGTATCTCTCCTCCCCACTGGGTGCTGCTCTGTGTCCCCTCTGACGTCCAGCAGGGAGGAGCCAAAAACGTAAAAAAATAAAGGTTTTGCCTAGAGATACACTTTAACCTTACAAAATATTAAACCAATTAGACAAATTAAAGTGTTTTCCAAACATTATCAGTTTGTCATATAACTGCTTGTAAGATTTTGCCTTTTTACAGTCTGAAGACCGGGAAATCATTAGTTCATTAGAAGTATAGAAATGTTAGTGCAGATTAACTTTTTTTTTTGCTTTGTTTCAGTTACTCATCTAGACACTTACGACTCCGAGGCTATTCCGCTTACAGCTGTCACAAAGTTGTATGGTATCAGTCCCTCTTCTCCTGTGCACAGTGACCTGGCTTTCCACCACTCACCATTTCTACAAGACAAAGTAAGATGACTCTTGTGAAACACAGTATCGTTAATTGTAGTAAATGAGAATATACACATTGGCAGATCATGGTTAAATTGAAGCTGTATTCATTGAGGCTATTTATATTTAAAGTATATCTAAACTCATGAGCAAAAATGTAATATATTGTATTGTAACAGTCCTTATGCGTGATGGCTACATTTGTTTTCTTTTTTTTTTTTTCAAGAAAGGGAGAGAAAAATAGGAGTTGATCCTACCAGAAATCATGCACCCTTGTTACTTTCTCAAAAGTGAATTGAAATCTCTAACAATGTTATCAGCATTCCCAGCTATCTTCTGTAAACTACAAAACAACTCAGATGCAGTTACTATTTGGGTATTAAGGCAGCCGTCAGTGTCACAGCTGACTGAATACTATAGCCAGCCGGGGAGATTCCTCAATCCACACTGTTTAGCGTGGATGGGGGTATCATGAGATTTTCCCTCATTCAGCCCAGGATAAACTAGCTAAATTGAAGCATTAAATTGTATGGCCAGCTTTAGAGTAGGGCATCACACTCTGCATTAATTACTTGCACCAATCACCCTGTGCTGACAGCTAAGCTATGGTAAACACATATGTCCTATGTGCTTGTATATAAACTGTAGAGGCACACTCACAATTCCAGAATCTGCATCCTGTCTCCAGCCTTAAAGCCAAGGTCGCCATCATGAGCAGGGTCATAGTCATATAAACCTACCACCTGGTTATCTGTAGAATACAAAAACAAATTCACACAGTACAAGATCAAAAATTATTATTTCACCATTGTTTAATGTACTATAAGAAAAATAACCAGCTGTCACTTCATTTCTATAAATTATTTTTTTAAACAATTCCTCTGTATTGAATTTTGCAAAAGAAAACAAGAAAACTTGCCACCAGGACAAAATATTCCGGGAAGCATAAAGATGAGTTAACATAAATACTGTAATTACATGTGTGTGGAATCATTCAAGAGACGATTGGACGATTTCCTCAGAGACCGAGGCAGAGGTACAAGTACTTTTAAGAATGAGAACAAACAGGGACCTATACATACGCACACATCAGTAGGACCATACACATACACACAATAGGTTAAACTTGATGGACATATGTCTTTATTCAACCTCAAATACTATGTAACTATGTAACATACAGATCATGATAAACAATAAATATACAAGGATAACAATGTATCCATTACGGCATTTAGTATGAAGAAACAAAAGCCATTCTGATTTAAACATGTGGAAATGTATAATGAATATCAAAAGTATCAGTGCTGGCAACATCTTGACAAGGGAAGAAGAAAGAGGTAGCAGAAAAACAAGAAATATAAAGTTGTGTCGGGAAATAGGTACATTTAAAGGGTGGGGCATAGGTCAAACCCTTTTATAAGTGCCCATTGTGCTTGTATACGTGTGATCTAATTTTCCAGCATTGCCTTTTAGCGTACATTTTAAATGGATCTTCTTGGTTTTATTCTGGTTTATCTCAAATTCAATATCTATATTGCTAATAAAAAACACTAAATAATAATTTAAATACTAATATTTTCAGTATCTTAAAATACTGTGATTAGTAAGTTAGTAGCACTTGTTAGGCATCACTTCAAGCAAGTGCCACTTTAAAGTAGTATTAACCACTTCCCGTCCGCCGAACGCTGAAAGACGGCCTGACGGGAGTCTCCTGGATGTGGGTGGGCGTCTTTAGACGTCCTTCATGCCTGCTTGTGCGCGCTAGGGGGCGCGCATGAGCGGGAAACCGCCAGGATTTTAAACGGCCAGCGATGGCTGTTTACATACAAGCGGTCCGGTGTCTGTAAAGACGCCCGATCGCTTGTATGATGCAAAACAGGGTGACCCGCTCTTACCTCTTCTCGCTGTCGCCGTTCTCGCTGTCACCGCCGTCCCCGCGATCCCGGGCGATGTGGCGGCTCTGTGCACTGAGAACGGAGGGAGTTCAGTACAGATCTCCCTCCGCTCTCCTCCCGGTCTCTGAATGCAGGAAGTGATGTACTGTATGTTACATCACTTCCGCATTCCCCTGTCACTCACCGGTACAGAAACCGGAGAGAAGCTGATGAAGCAGATCTCTGCTTCATCAGCTTCTCTTGGGGGTCCCTAGGTGACATTAGGGGTCTTAGAGACCCCTGATGTCTCCATAAAGGGGACCTGTCACTGTAATTGGTTATTACACAGGGGACTTCTTAGCACCCTATGTGATAACAATAAAGTTAAGTGTAAAATTTGCTCACAAAATAAATAAAATTTACACACAAATAAAAAAAAAACACAAAAGTTTTTTAAAGTCCCCCACCCCCACATAGATGCGCAAAAATGCGTTCGGTGTGCCTACACGAAAAAATGGCGATTGCGCCCATTACGCCGCACATGTTACATATTGCCGCGAACGTCGCAGTGAGAGCAATAATTTTAGGGTCATCAATCACTGATAACACGAAACTGATGAGCGCTAAACTCTGTTAAAGCAACGCCTATGGCCAATTTTGGCTATGATAGTTTTTTGTGATTTCGCCGGCGTGCGCAATTTTAAGGCTTGACATGTTTGGTGTCTATTTACCCGCTGTGACCCCGCCTTTTATATTTTACCAAAAAATTGGGTAAAAATAAATGTTTCCTACAAAAATAAAGGGACAGACGTACCCCTAGGGATGACAGTTGCCAACCCTGCCTTGTTAGTGCAGGTATCACTTATCTTAACTAAATTCATTTTGACCTTTACACCTACTTGCCTCTATCCTTAAATGAGAACTATGGGGTAAGTGTTTTTCCCCATAGTTCTCCTAAGGGTCACGGGAGGACATATACTAGCAACCTCCAGTGACCCAAAGCTCATTAAATCGCGAGCTACAGCTCGCGGTATACTGAGACCGCCGCAGCCGGGACGGATCTCGACATTACTGTCGAGATCCACCCAGCTGCGTGAGTGACAGCTGGCTCTGCCAACCTAGAGGCAGAGCCAGCTGTACCCGCCCCTTCCCCAGTTCGTTCCTCCAGTCAGCGCTGGAGGATCGGAGCAGGGAGGGGGGAATCCCTGCAGGGAGCCGTGAGTAACAGTCCCGGCTCTCTGAAGGGACAGGATCGAGAAGTAAGTGAGCAACGGTATGTGTTCACTCACTTCCCGATCTATTGATCCGACGTATGACAGTTTCATTGCCACACATCAGCTCGAACTATGAGGTTGAGTGAAAATCACTCACCTCATAGTTCTCCTTTAAATGACAGATCAGCAAAGGCTTTGCTGGAAGCATGCACAGTTTTGCTGTTATTTATAAAAAGTCTCCTTTTAAGGCTACAAACTAATGAGCCATTTCCTGCAAAACCCTGTCCCTTTTTTTTTCCAAGGTAGGAATACTAGTAGCTTAATATGAGTTTACGCAATTTGACTCCTTTCTTTTTTTAATTCTTTATTTACAAGGAAAAAACACAAATCAATGGAAAACTTTATACATTGATAGTAACCATATTATGGTTGCCGGGCAGCAGCACTCTCTAACACACACAATGTGCATTAACCTCTTTCTGCAAACCCACACTTGATAAAGATAGATAGATAGATAGATAGATAGATAGATAGATAGATAGATAGATAGATAGATAGATAGATAGATAGATAGATAGATAGATAGATAGATAGATAGATAAAAAGCTTCCACCCAAATAAAAATAAAAAAATTGTCTGAAGATCAAATGCTGGTATAGGCTGGGCTTTGTCAAGTACTGGTACAAGCAGGCCCTCACGTTCTTTTATACAACAGAAAGGAACTGAGAAGTCTGCTCTCAAATAATATATATCGCAATCCATGCCTCCAAATGAATATTCCTATAGATCAGAGTAGGACCACAAAATACAGAGGCAACTATGATGCAGTGTGCAGCTTCCATACAGTATACATTTCAAAATATATGCAACATAGACCTCTCTTTTTATTATAAATTAGAAATATGTTTACATTTTTGGGGGATGGGGGGGGGGGGATTTGTGCACTTTTAGAAAACTATTTCAGAAAAATACAGTGCAGGATGAGAAATACTTGGTTTGGCATTTGAACTCCCTGCATCAGTGGTTGCCATGAGCACTAGCTATTCTCGGGTCTTCTGTTTCAAAATGACAAAACATTGGAACATGTAAGGTTAGTACACATCAGATGAGGCAACATGCTTAAACATCATCCTCTCCATACTAATCTCCCTGTTTATGGAAGTATCTTAAAGTGGAACATTAGACATAGCTTTTCTTTCTGTTTTTGCTAGTGGAAAGGATTAGACTATATGTTAGGTTTAAATGGCTGTTTTTGCACCTATTGAGAAGATTTGCTTGTCATTTCCTGTGTGGTCAAGTTAGAAATTGAATGTAATCTTTCCAAGTTAGAGAGAACAAAAAGCACCTTTTCAGTCATGTGAAGGTCTAGAAGTTCTGCTGGGTTTTTGTTGCAGTATGTGTCCTATAGGGGACATTTTCCCTCACTTTCTGTTTGGTCACTAGATAGGAATTTAAAAGGTATGTGACCACACAGGAAAATAGAGAAAATAAACCCAATGGAGACACAGTAATAAAATCAGACATATATTCAAACCCTTTCTTACTCTGCTCAAAGCAAAAAGGTTCAACTGCAATGATCTAGCTGTAGAAGGAATTCTATCATCTTTCATGGAATTCAAACACATAAGCAATCAGATATCCTATGCTATTAAAACAAGATAATAACTGGCATCAGGGCCATCCCTATAATGAGGCAGCCTGATGATGTAGCCTCAGGGTGCATCTCTTTGGGTCACATGGGGGATGGAGGGCAGGCAGAGCACAATACACAATGTTTGCAGTTTGCCTGCCATCCCCTTTCTGGCCAGAGCATCCCAGGTTTCTAAGAGCTGGGCGGGGAGATGTGTAAGGGCCTTACACATCTCCCTGCCCAGTTTTTAACAACGTGGGACACTGTGGCCAGCATCCTGCCCAGTGCCTGAGAATGTCTGAGTGATGTCAGTGAGCTGGGCGGGATGCCGGCCACAGCCAGCGCTGGGTGGTAAGATGGTCCACCCCGCTTCCCCGTTAGCATGCACCACAAGCAACCCCCCCCCCATGGAACACCCCCGCCTAACGTGCACCACCAGCACCCCTTCCCCCCACACACACGCACACATACACACACACACCCGACCTCAGGCAGTGAAATGGCTGTGGACACCCCGATCACAATGCATGAAGTCTGAATGCAGTCGCAGATAATCACAGTACACCACCCTAAGGGACCTATTGAAAACATTCTCCAGCACATTCCCCATTGACTGTTTTATAGCACATTCACCAGGTAAACATTACATGGTCATATTTGCCTATTTATAACCTAGCGAATGTGCACGCAGAAAATGTGCCTCCTAACACTGTATATATTCTGCAAATGTCTTTTGTCTATTAAGCAGCCAAAACAGATTTCACTTCCCAGCACTTTTACACAGTTGGAGTTTTGATATGTTAATTTAAAAAAAGCTTTTTTTCTTATTAAAACCATAAACACTTTCTAAAAAAAATTCATGCAAATGTACTTATTAAAAAAGGGCAAATGTGTCAGTGAATGTATTTCCTAAAACATTTAATCAGATAGATTGGAAATGTTTATCCATTTCCCTGGTATTCTCCATGGTAGGTGCAGGCATAAGCTAGCACAGGTGTTCACCAATTCAAGGGTTTTCTGACAAATTGTTTTTGTGCAGGTGTCAGATGGACTAAAATCCTTTGTTGGCCAGGTCATTACCTAAAAGTCAACATAATAGATTGTGTATGAGAACACTTTACAAAAGAGGAGCTGTCTTAATGAGCCATGTTAAAGTTCAGTACAGCAGTGTTGTGTAAATAATTCTGTTGCCTCATTCCTACCGTGAGATGGAGAACTTGGAGGGGGTTGGGACATATAAGAAACCAGTGGATCCTGTACATCATATCGTGTGATCATCTAAGAGAAAAACAGATATATATATAATTTTTAGTGAGGCTATTCTCAATCCTTGGAACATCCATATTTATACAGAGGTACCACACTGGCCATACCTGCTATGTTAATGAACAACTTGCTTAACATCATTAGGCTTATTAGGCATATGAAATAGGAGCAAACAGTTATGATAATGAGCATAAAATACATGAATCCATTTTAGCTAAACAGATTTTTCCATTCAGCAGTATAGGGCAGTCAAGGCAAAGAATGATTATTGCTTGTAGGTTACAGCACTTTACACATATATTTAAAGTGTTTGTGAAATACCTACAAGACATTTTTTCTCAAATTTACAGAAAACTTAAGTATCCCAGAGTACATAAACCAGTAAGGTCAGTTCATGTGCCCTGTAGGAGCTCACAGTGTGTCATGTCCCTAACCCTACCTACATACTAGGGCCAGTTTCTGGGAGGAAGGCGATTAACCTTCCAGTATGTACCAGGAGGAAACCCATGAAAAGGCAGAGCAGTCATACTGTCCTTGGTGAGATTCAAGCCCGGGAGCCGTAGCTTTAAGTCAAGAGTGATAATCACTTAGCCTTTACTGTCTATTAGCTCCGTTTTACTAATAAATATCATTGTAAAACCAAAGCTACTGTTTAGTCATATCAGGGCCGGCCTTAGGCCTTTAGGCGCCCTGTGCGAGAAAGCTTTACAGCGCCCCTCAGTGACCACACCCCTCAGTGGCCACACCCTCAGTAACAGTGGTCACTTTGTGGTGTTCTTTTGATTCTGAAGTCTGATCTGTCCCCAGAAAATTGTTTGCTATTATTAGTAACAGGCAGCACTACCCTACAAGCTATAATTAGCATGAAGCTATCTTGAGTATATATAATGGATTTTTAAATATAGACCAATGACTTGCATTTAGTTTAATTTAGTAAACCTTGTTTTTTTACTTAGGGACTCATTTAAATTGGAGAGTGGGTATTGCTATCCACTGACTGCTGGACACTGCAGTATTCCAGCCGCATTGTGGAGCCCATGAAATTCCATGGAATGCTCTCACTGGCATACTGGCAGTTATAATGCCAGCAATTAAAAGCGATTTGTAGCTAGCAATGCAAAGTCGCTGGTGGTTTCCCACATGAAGCATTTTTTTTCAAACTTATGCTACATCATTACACCAGTGATTGTCACTGGTGAGCTTGTCCCTGGCATGAAATGCAGATCACTTCTGCAAAACAGCCAATGTGACATGGCCCTAATGCTGCAGAGATAATTCAATGATTGGAGGAAAGGCCAGTCCCATGACTTTGATTTGTCAATTGGTCACTTGACAGTCTTTCCAGCTTTTTTGGCCCCATTTGTTATAATTGTGCTCCATTTGCTTCGGGGTGCCCAAGACAGCTAAGTGCTAAGCATGCAACATCACTGTGCTTTTTAAATGTGCGCTCTGGTTTTGTTTTGTTTTTTTATGTCCATGCTACTGCTTCATTCATAGGGCCATTATTGTCTGAAATGTAGACTAGAGTTTTGTGATTTTTTTTTATGTAGCTACACAAATCTCACTTGATTTACTGCATCATGAATTCAGATGCCTTAAAATGGGGGCGGATCTGCAAAATAATGCAGGAAAAAGGTGTGCTGACAGGCCAGCCCCACCATACCCGGCATAGTAAGGAGTGTTGGTAGATTCAGTGTTAGATCACTGTGTGTTTCCCACCTACCATAACACTATTTCAATGATACTGTATCTAAGGACTGGTCCGAAACGACTTTTTAGGCTCAATTCACAAAGCTTTAGCACAGTGTTAGAATTCTTAATTTTTAGCCATGTGACTATAAATACATAAATACAATAATATTGTGACTAGTTGGTTTACTGGGATATAGCAAGCTATTACATTACAAAAAAACAATTGTTTATGAGAAAAATCATGGGCTGCCAAAGGAAACACTAACTCTCTCATATCCATGGGTGTGGAATTCCTATCGCCCGACGCCCGGGACATGCAGTTTGGGGCGCCGGGCGAGTAGTTTTTTTGTACACTTAGCCCCGGTCCGGACAAGCAGAGCTAAGTGTACAGTGTGGAGCCGCCGCTCTTTTTTAAGTGATCGGATCACTTGTATGAAACGAGAGGCGGCGATTCTGTCCACACCGCCCCCCCCGTGGTTTTCGGGGTCCCCGCTCCTCTAGCGGACCCGAAACCACGGAACATGAGCTCACCATAGAGCAGACGAAAAACTGAGGTTTTTCGTCTACTCTGTGTTATCACTGAGACAGGGTCCACCTGTCTCAGCTGTCAGGAACTACACAGAACATCAGTTCTGTGTTGGAGGGCAGGTTCCATAAAAAGAACCTGTCACCTCCAAACTATCACTTAGAGGATTTAATTTTAAAAATGTAAAAAAGTTATGAAAAAGTACAAAATAATATTTTAAAAAAGTGACAATGTAAAAAAAAACAAAAAAAAACCCTGCTGCCCCCGCCATCTGCATGCAAATAAACGCACGCATAGGACATTGTGTGTGTGCGTTGAGTGCTGCCGCCATTTCACTGTGCCGTATTGTGGTAGCGAGGCAGCAGAACTCTCCTACACGCACAATGTGCATTAAAGGGCAAGTTCACTTTCCCAGGTAATATGGGAAAATGGATTTACCCGATCAAATCTGGCCCCCGTCTCTCCCAAAACCCCCCACCCCCGGCTATACTTACCTTTCGGCAAACAGTCCTTACCCTCCGCCGGTACAGGTGTACTGTCCTTACCCCGTATTGTCCAGCGCAGTCCTGCCCTATTTTTTTATATTTCGCTCGCAAATTGCAAGCACTCATTGGTCAGCGTGGTCTGGTGGACACGCTGACCACTGAGAAGCGCTATTTAGCACAGACCAATACAGTTTTGATTAGGGATGCACAGATACAGAGTATTTGGGCAAGTACTTGTACTAAGATTTGGCCCCCACTTTAGCCCTTGGACAAGTAGTTTTTTCAAAAATTTCCACACCCCTGATATCTATATATCAGGAAATGTCTGATATATAAATTTGGAGATTGCATTTGGGCAATACATTAGAAAGCATGGTGCACTGGTAGAGGTAAGTGCAGATTTGTTTTAACTGATCCCTGGTTTTTATCCAAAATTCATATTTGAAAAGAGTTGAAAAAAGGTAAATATGTACATAGATGATGGATTGGTAAAAAAGAAGTAGAAACTTACAGGGTTATTCACTAAAGGGTGAAGAGTTTGGAGAAGGCAGGAGAAGTGAACAATCTAGGCCAAAATAGCTGATTTGGAAAAATTATCCAGTTCAGCTCACTTTCCAGTTCAGCTATGTTGTCCTAGATTGTTCACTTCTCCTGCCTTCTCCAAACTCTTCACCCTTTTGTGAATAACCCTGTTAGATAACAAGATAGCTTCTAAAAAAGGTGCTGAAGTAGCTACTGTGTTTTAGTTGTGTTTATGGTCTATAGGGGTGGTCTAGGCATGTTTAATTCCCGTTTTTGACCTTGAGTTGCTAAAATTAAAGGGGAAGGCTGTTAAATAAAGGTTTGGAGAAGAATCGTTATAAAGATAAGCATTTTTCAGCAACATCTAGAGGTGTTTTAGAGTTTTATAAAAGACATGTGAGACATGCAGAGTGATATAAATTTCTTTCCCAATGTTTCTGCATACAGCAGACTCAGAAACCAAGGTGATGTGCCTAAACTATCTGCAGAAAGCGAGAGAGGCCTATCAACCCACCTTACGTGCAGTAGATAGGACAATGTGTCCCTTGGAGTGAACCTGCTGTATGTAAAATCAGCTGTACCCATTTCCCTGTCTAAAAGAACAACAACGAAAAATGTTAGTTAGGTTTACTTAAATTTTTTGCTTTGGGACCAGCTATTTATACTGTACTCAGTTACTGTTTTAACAAGTTTAATATGCTAATTCATATTGCTATTACAATTGCATTTTGTTTGATATTTCAGTTTAAAACCCAGCTAAATATTTTATCTGATAAGCTTTACATAAACCTCAAGTAGTATCATACTCACTTGTGACTTTTCCCGTGGCAAATGGCAGTTTTCACAAATATCAAAATTCTCCATCCAGTCATCTTCATATTCAGAGCTACAGACGCACCCCATTGTACCTGCATAAAGATCCTTAAGCAAAGAGTCTTCATTCAGTAAGGTTCTGCGCACATAGACTAATTTTTTATTAAAGTCTTCAGTAATATGGTACATACAGTACAAGTAAGGCGGTAACATAGGACCTAAGATGGCAAATTGTTTTTATCTTCCACTGCTTAGGCAAATAGCAAATTAGTAAAGCCATTCTGGGATATTGTTCAGCAGTAAAACAATAAATAGACTCATAACTGTGTAGTCTCAAAAGTACCTGATTCATCCATACCTATGGAGGACTTGTGGCTGGCAAAGTATTTCCTTGTTGAGGAACTAATGCTCGAAGAATGTGATTATTTGTTTTACTGACTTCTGATTTATCAAAGCATTATTTTGTTGTTCTCAAGCCACACAATTAATCTTGTGCCTGTTGTCTCACCTATAAACAATATGTCTGCTTACACAGCGACTGATGTAGTTCCCAATTGCAACTGGTCCAAGTCAAAACAAACGACAAACGCACTCAACAATTTGTCACCAGTTATAAAGTAAGGTGCACACGAAATGGGCTTTGAACAGTAAAACAGTAGAAAGGCATCATGGCACACTCACAAACCAGCATGTAAAACAACTTGTCTCACCACTGAGGATAATAACAGAGGTTTGGATACACGTCTTCTGCAGAGGATGTGAAAGCCGCACTGATTGGCCAGGGCCAAGGCACCTCTTATAGTGCGGTCCTAACTCTAAACTATGAGAGTCTCCATCTTGGAGCACATGGGGGCAGAAGATTTCAAATTGGGTGCAGGTTTGTCAGGAGGAAGCCCAGCCTCCTTAAAAGCACAGAACCACACAAGGGATCCCGCACATCCCAATGGCAGCTGAGAAACTCCATGCGTCGCTGCACCAAGTGCTTGGTCACATGTCCACATCTCACACACAGGTAGGGTTGCCACCTTTCCTTTAAGCCAATCCGGAACACTGTAGCACCTCGCGGCAATTTTTTTGTCAAGTACGCACTATGAATATATTTTGTGATTAAATAACATTGGAGTTAATCAGAAATCATATGGAGTTAATCACAACTTGCCAGTGTGCCACAGGTCCCCAGATATGCATTATGTACATAAACGATGCCCCCATAAGATGTCAGTGTGCCACAGGTCCCCAGATATACAATCTGTACATAAACAATGTCGCTATAAGATGCCAGTGTGCCACGGGTCTCCACTATGCTATGCAAAGCAGTATCCATATACCTTGCCGCACTCCTTACCGAATATCTCAAAAGTATCGGGTGCTCATAATGACTGCGGATTGTGCGCTCACAACAGAACTCCAATACAGATGTCACCAGCACGCCAGCACCGAGATTCCATGTTAGTGCAAATTAGGGATGCACCGATACCAGTTTTTCAGTATATAATACGAGTACCAGTGCGCTGTGCCCTGATTATCAGGAAGTCAGACAGCGGATCATGACCCGTCGTCCGGCTTCCTGATTGCCTGTGAAGCCAGTGTTCTAGAGAAAGAACACTGGCTTCAGAAGCTACTTGGCTTCCTGACCAATCAGGAAGCCGAGCGGCGAGTCATAACGTACAGCCCATCTTCCTGATTAGTTAGGAAGCCAGGCTGCCTAGCAACAAGTACGGCTGGCTTCCTAGCCAATCAGGAAGCTGCGAGGTGTTTCATAACCCACCACCCGGCTTCCTGATTGGTCAGGAAGCTAGGCTGCATAGGAACAAGTGAAGCTGGCTTCCTAACCAATCAGGAAGCCGAGAGGCGGGTCATGACATGCTGCCCGGCTTCCTGATTGGTGAGGAAGCCAGGCTGCTTAGCAACATGTGAAGCAAGCTTCCTAGCCAATCAGGAAGCTGCGAGGTGTTTCATAACCCACCACCCGGCTTCCTGATTGGAAAGGAAGCTGGCTCCATGCTCCCCCGGCACTGCCGGTCAGAGGGAGATCTCCCTCTGACCGGAAGTTCCGGTATCGGATTTAGGTATGGGTGCATTTGGATGAGTACTGACCCAAATAGTCGGAATCGGCACTGATACCAATACTTTTTATTGATAGATGTAATTGACAAGCGCTTTCGGGGCCGCGCAGGGTCCCCTTCATCAGGCTTAGAAATTAAATTTTAGTATGTCTATATAAAGGTTGTGGTACTTTTATGCAATGTCATTTTGAGCCTGATGAAAAGGACCCTGCGCGGCCCCAAAAGTGGTTGTCGTTTCAATGACAACTATCAATAAAATGGACTTTGCATTTACATGAAATCTTAGTGCTGGTGACATCTGTATTGGACGACTATGTACTATTGCACATAAAATATGCCCCCACAAAAGCTGTCACAGGTTACCTGTGGCATTTTTTTATGGGGGCATGTTTTTCATGTGCAATACCAACCCCCCCACCCCTTTTCAATTGATACTTAATTTGATTACATTTTATAAATACCTGTTATTAAGTAAAGGTTGAGGTGAGAAGGGCGGTCCCAGACTCGTTTCCCAGACGAATGCGCTCCACAACCATTCTGGCTGCCGTAGGATTATTTCTCCCTCTCTGCTCCCTCTCTCCCTGATCTCACTTCCTCCCATTACAGCCGCAGAAGAGAAAAACAGAGAGCGGTATGGAGAGTTGAGGGACTGGAGACAGCGTCGCCCGCCACGAGGACATGGTATGCATGTCTACGACTTTGTCCAATTGGAATAATATGATCCGAGCAGCAGCCTGGCACAGCACCTTGTGCCCATGTCGATGAGGACAAGGGCCTCTTCCCCACAATGCCCCCCCCCCTCCTTTGTGAATGAGTAAGGGGTAGTTTTTCCCCCCAACTCATTCACCAAATACACTAAAATAGTAAAAAAAACACAACACCGTAGTATAAAGTCCTTTATTTTAAAAAAACCCACAGTTTTTGACAAGACTTTTATTAAAAAAAGCAAAACAAAAAACCTGTCCATCGGTGTAATCCACAAGTCAATCACTTTGCTCAGTGATGTAGATCATTTCAATCACAATGGACAACGGCCGCCGAAAGAAAAGAATTCCTGATTCCTGACAAACAGCGGCCGCGAAATGACTGCTCTGCTCCCGAATGTCAACAAAGGGGCGGAGTCGTGACGTCACGGGACTTGTTCTGCCCATTTGTTTACATTCTGTGACAGCTCTCGGAACCCTAATAGGATGTAAACAAATAGGCGGAACTAGTCCCGTGATGTCACGACTTCCCTTTATTGATATTCGGGAGCAGAGCAGTCATTTTATGGCCGGGATCAGTTGTGGTGTCAGGTGTAGGGAATTTTTTCTTTTGGTGAGTTGGCAGCCATCATCTATCGTGATTGACATGGATCTACATCGCTGGACAACATGATTGACCTGTGGATTACATCAATGGACCTTTTTTTTTTTAAAGGCTTCTCAAAAACTGTGTTTTTTTTTTTTCTAATAAAGGTGCTTGTACTATGGTGTGGTGTGTTTATTTACTATTTTACTGTATTTGGTGAATGAGAAGGGGTAACAACTACCCCTCCCTTACTCATTCACAGGGGGGGGGCCGCATCTGGCTGCCCCCTTTATAAAAGGGGGCAACCAGATTTCTATAAGCCCCCCTGCCTGAAGACCCCCACAACCACCAGTCCAGGGTTGTGTGGAAGAGGACCTTTTTCTCATTGACATAGGTCCCCGCAGGCAAAGCACCCTCCCCAAGTTGAGGGCATGTGGCCTGGTATGGTGTAGGAGAGTGTGCCCCCCCCCCCTTTCCTGCTCTGCTAGACTGCTGCTCAGATCAAGGGTCTGGTAAGGGGTTTTAGGTAGGACCCTATGCTATTTTTATTTTTTTTTTGTGTTGGGGTCCCCCCTATAATTCTTACCAGACCTAAAGGGTCTGGTATGAATTAGGGGAGAAACACATGCTAGTTTTTTTATTTATTATTGTGTCAAAAGTTAAAAAGAAAAAAAAGTAAACATTTAATGGGGAATTTAGCAAAATTGGATCAGACAAAATCTGGAGCAGTTGCCCATGGCAACCAATCAGCATCTCATTTTAAGATTGTTCAGTTAAGATTTGAAAATGAGAGAGAGAAGCTGATTGGTTGCCAAGCACAGCTGCTCCAGATTTTGTCTGCTCCAGTTTTGATAAATCCCCCTCTTAACATCACTTTTGTGCAACAAATGTTAGTTCGTAGAAATCCTTTAACTCATCTGAAAATAACAATTTTTTTTATTTTGGATGAATCAGAATACTGAAACAAGGGGCGTCCCGAGGCTGGGTGACACCCGGAGCGGTGTCCGAGTATCACCCCGCCGAGACGTCACCGCGCGTGTGCGCGATGACATCATCGCGCACGCGCGGCAGTATACCTAATATTTCCCAAAGCCCCCCCAACAGTAAAAAATAAATAAATAATAAACAAATAAAAAATTATGAAAAAAATGAAAAATGATTTTAAAACAGTGAAAACAGCCCCCCCTTCCCCACACACACATACGTATTATTAGACATGTGCGAAGACTCATAATTCATTTCAGATGAAATGAACGAAAACTAAAAAAGTTTTCATTTGTTTAATCAAACAAAACAAATTTTTATGCTATTTTGGATTCAGCCACTGGCGTGTTCTGGAGGCGGGGCGCATGACGTCATATAACACCGCACGTGTTGGGCGCCGCCATCTTGGTGTATATCTAGGTATACACCAAGATGGTGGGGCCAATATCGGCGTGTGACGTCACCTGATGCCACGCATGCATGGCGTCATGTAACGTCATGCTCCCTGCCTCCATGATGGTGGCACACATTCACAGAACACGCCGGTGGCCAATATGGCCGCACATTCTCAAACAAATTACTATGCGCCTGCATATATTTTTTTTATATTCGGACATATAGTAATTCATTAATTTTACAAGTAGTCTGGGTTTTGTGTTCTGTTTTCTATTTTTACTTTTCTAGATGCACTTACTTGAAAAAAGGGATCGTCATGACAACCTGACACTTTATTATTATAGACTCTATTTTAGTTTGACATTTATTGTT